ATATTTAATATGGTAATCTCTTTAACCAAAAATGAATGGAGAACAAAAAAAAGTAGCTTGCAGGTAAAAAATATGGAAATTACTCATCCATATATGTTTCCATGGTCTTTGATGATGATTCATAAAAATACTGGCATAAATTAATTCAAGATAGAACCATTTATAATTGAACAAATCATCAAGAAAAAAAAACTATGTAAAATTTGGCCTATTAAAGCTGGTTCCTTGCCAGACATTAATATGTAGAAAATAGGTTGCAGAAAGAAATTAGAGTTCTGCCTTAGATATCTAACTAAATATGTATTCAGTCATTGACTTGTTGAATCACAACATTTTGTCTTCTACATTTCTGTCATTCCTCTTAACTACAAGGCTGCTCCTAAAGCAATTCTTCTACTTTATAATGCTGGCCCACAACCTCAGAGATGGATGTTGGTGATATGACATAGAAGTTGAACCTTCTCACTAATATTCCTTCACATTTTGTTGGCAGCAGAAGGGCAGCCTGACAAAATGGTGTCTAACGTGGAAGTGTGTATGAAGCAAAGGGGTGGAACTGAATTCCCACATGTGGATAAAATATCTCCCATTGATATTCATTGATGTTTGCTGAATGTTTATGGAGAGCAAACAGTGGATTTTGGCACAGTGAGGTGGTGGGTGGCGCATTTCAGCAGTGGAGACATCAATATGAAAGACAAGCCATGTTCCAGACAGCCTTGCAGTCACACCACAAAACTAAGAGCATCTCAGTCAGATAGTCCACATGAATCAATGGATTTTGACCAGGGAGCTACGTACAGAGCTGAATATTGGCTTCAACACATCGGAAATGGAGGTGGCCACATTGGAATATCCCAAAGTTTGTACCAGGTGGGTCCCATGAATGCTCACACAGGGAAAGAAAGAACACCACACGCAAGTTTGCCAGGACCTATTGAGCCTACCTGAGGTTGAAGGTGACATGTAGGCTCTTTTTCGTCACTGGCTAAAACACGTAGGTAATGGTAGTAACTACACAGAAAAAAAGCAGTGTTTTGGAGGTTTTGTTTGCTTTTTTTAATAGCGGAGAAGTTGCTCTATCAGATAGTGTTACTGCACTCTTTTTATCTGTTGCAGCTTCCATGGAAATAAAAAAAAAGAGGCAATACTTTTGGAACAACCTGCACAGACACCTGTATTCTCAGACTGCTGCACAGAGAGATGCAGAGTTACCAGCTGATCTGTATATCTGTTCAGATATGTACTTACTCTTAAGCACTCCCCAAAGAGCTCTGTAGTGAAGATGCCCAGCCAGGGAGCTCCTGAAAACTACCCAGAGATGTGCAAAGTGATAGAGGGCCTCTTAACCTGCCTTTGCCCTGTCACCTTTTGGAAGCTTGCAGGAAATGATCCTGTGTTTACCTAGGTAGGGAAAGTCCTCACCCTTTCCTCATTTCTTGCATAATGCCATGAAGTAGCTAATCTCCTTGTAAATCAAACTGCTTCACATCGTTTTCCCTATCATTCACTCTCAGCCACGTTTATCCCAGTGTGCAAGAAAGGAAGTTGTGTGAATCTAATAATACTGAGATATTCCCATGGTTCCGATATGTTCCCCATCACTGAGGGTTTTATCAGGAGGAGAGGACAAAGCAGCAGCACACATATAAGAACGGGATGGTGGTGAAGCACCAGGTGTGCTCCCCTTTCCCTCCGAGACAGAGGGAATGGCTTTTCCCTCACACAGCCACCACGCATCACGCTGCTATGTAGCTCAACAGAAGGTTTGTAGAGGTGTTTGCTGCCGCTGCACATGCAAGGTATCTCCTTAGAAGAAACAGATCCCTTTGTGTTCCATAACTCACCAATATCTGAGAGCGATAAGACTGTTTCTGTGTGTGATATGCAAATCTCTGCATGTAGTGTTAAATAGCTGTTATGCAGTGGCCAACGCCCTGCCATTTGTTGAAGCAAACACTGTGCACACCAATATTAATAGTCAGTCCATATCTGACCTTTGTTAAATTACAGCTCATTCCACCTTTGTTCTTTGAAATTCTCCTTTCAAACCAGCTTAGGAATAAGATAACTCAGTAAACAAATCAGTGTGAAAAAGTGCAGCAGCTCATGCATACATATGTGATACACATAGGCCATGATCCCTGGCAGTAGCACTCCCACGAAGCAAACCAGACTTTCGGGTTTGCCAAGCAAGATGCGTCTCACATTCAACTCCGTGATATTTAATACCTGTAATATGAGACATTTTGAAAACTTTACCTATTTCAAAATGTTAAGGCACACCATGGACATGGGTGGACAGAACTGCAATCAGAATCTGGAGTAGTAAAAAAGGAAAAAAAAAAAAAAAAAAAAAAAGGAAACGAGGAGACAAAAACACCTCTACCTCATCTGCTGCCTTTGCCAATTCCATTGCCTTTGTTATATGTAGGCCAGTCCAAAAATAACACCTCTTATTTATTTCTATGCAAACTACAACAGATACAAAGAGCACAATCGCACTGGTAGCGCAACTTCTCAGCTACAAAGCACTATTTTTCAACAGAGTCACAGCCATGAGCTGTGCATTTTCGGCAGTGATAAACATGAGCCTGCATGCTGCGATCACAGCCACCTTCATGGGGGTCCTGAACATGGTTTATCTTTCACATTGCCTTCACCACTGCTGGAACGCAGCACCAACCACCTCACTGTGCTCACATCCATCCTCAGGGCTCCACAAACGTTCAGCAAACATCAGTGAATACTGGTGGGCAGCACTTTTATCACGTGGAGGAATTGAATTCCATGCCTTTGCTTCATGTGCGCTTCCACTTTAGATGTTCTGCCCCTCTGCTGCCACCTGTTGCATGGCAACAAAACGTAGTGGAACATTGGTGGGAAGGTTCAATTCCACTGCCAGACTGACATTCACCTCTTATGTCATGGGCCAACATAATAGGAACCAGTAGTTTCAGAGCAGCCCTCGTAGTTTACAGCTGTATTTATTAATGCCCAACACTCAAACTCTCCCATCAAGTGTGCTCGCCTCACCTTTGCCCCTACTGTGATGGAACTGCTCAGGGAAATCCTGTTCACTTCTGGTCATCGTTTCGAGGACACAGCAAGGAGCAGAATGAGGCAGGACTGGAACTATGACAGGAGCTTCTGCAGCCAACAGAGAAGCCTCATCTCGTGCAGCCGTGCCAGTGACTCATTAGGAGAAGAGCCGAGGGAAGGGCACAGCTGGGGCCAGACGGTTTCAGAGAGCGAGCACACATCGACCTGCAGGAGGGCAAAGCCGCAGTTCGAGCTGAACCCCACTGACGGGAGCTGCACCCGCACTCTTTGCAGCACTATAATCCCTATCTACAGAACCCCATTAACTTCCTACTACCTGCCAAACGCTTCCTTGGTCACACTGTAACGCCAACCACCTAAATCCGCAGTTCGTCATCATACTTAACCGCATTTTCCCAGGAAAGGTATCCAGAACGCAACGTCACCGGCTCTGGGAAGGCAGGCGGCGTTTGCACTAGGCGATAAGGAGAGATTGCGGAGTGCTCGGTCTCCTAGCAACCGTGCAGCCGCCTCATGGCAATTCAGCAGCACGGAGGCTCCGGGCCGGCGGCACCGTGGAGGCTAGGGGCTGCGAGCGGAGGTAGGAAGGTAAGCCGACCACGAAGGACCGCGCTGTCGGGGGGGGACGTGCACGGAGGGAAGCATGCTTAAGAACTCGCGAGCGCTGCGGGGAGCGGACGCCCTCAGCTGCCTCGCCGCTCTCCCAGCACGACGCGCGGCTCGTCCCGCACAGCCGCCGACTCAGCGCGGGTGCCCCGCAGCGCCGGGAGCAGCCGGACGGGACGGCCGTGGAAGCACCGGAGGCGCGCGTCACGGTACCCCCCACAGACAGCGGCCATCGGCGGATAGAATCCGCCAGGGATTAAATGCGCGTGCCCCGGATGGCCACGCCCTCCCCGGCGCTCGCCGCCCAATCAGCGCACGGCGGGGCGTGGCGGGCCCCGCCCTCGGCGGGGTGCGCGGCGCGGGGTGACGCGCAGGGCGGAGGGATGGTGGCGGCGCGGCCGTGTGCGCGGCGCGTAGCCAACGGCTGCTTGGGGGTCGCGCGGCGGAGCGCGCGCCGGGTCCCCGCCGGCCGCTGAGGTGAGGGGAGCGTGGCGAGGGGGAGCCGAGGGCCGGCGGAGGGCGGCGAGGGGGCCGCCGGCAGCGTCGGCCCGCGTGGGAAGGAAGACGCCAGGAGGGGCCGCCTGGGGGAGCACCGGCCGCGGGGACGGCGGGCGTCCGCCGGGAGCGGAGGGGCCCCGCGGGCGGAGAGGAGGCGCTCGGCAGGCCGCGCTCGGCAGCGGCCGCGCGGAGGGGAGGTACGGCGGCGAGACGGGGCCCGGGGCCGGCCTGCGGGGCGCGGCGCCACCGGGGGCTGACCTGTTGCTGCAGGGGATGCGGCCGGCTGCGGCTGCGTCCGGTTCCGTGCCGCCGTGAGCCGCCTGCAGCGGGCACCGCTACGCCTGACTGGGGAAGCGGCAGAGCCGGCCGGGAAGGGACCTCTCCTAAGAAGTGCTTACGCCGGTAGAATGTTAAACGATGGTTTTGAAAGCGGAGAACGTCATCTGCGCTTGGCTGACAGGGAAGCTGCATTTGTGGATGTACAGCTTCACATTGTGGATGTGCCAGGAGCGCCGATGTGTGCGCAGAGCTTCTAGAAACAGCGGTTCCTACTGAGCAGAAAGCCTTCACTGGCATGTACAGCTAACTGTGCCTTCTGTGCTTTGCCTCTAAGTACCTTGTTGCATCGCTTGACTGTTCGAGGCACGGTGTAGAAGCCATTGATTCCATTGCCAATGGTGCAGCTCGCAGAGGACACTGGAAGTTGGACTCAGTGCTCCTTATGGGTCCCTTCCAATGCAGGATATGCTGTGATTCTCTGGCCTGTGCCTTCTGCTTCGTGCTGAGGCCTCGCTGCTTCCTGCTCTCTCCATCAGTAAGGGGACGCAGGGAAGAGTCAGCTGTGTGTGTACCATGTTTTACATGATTAATTTGTGAAATCTTGAGCAAAAGACGATGGAATGATAGTGGGATGAAAGGTGCAAGAGTTCTGGATCTCTGCTGCTTACTGCATAATGTATTCTCTAAGTTTCAAAACCACTGATTGATTTTTGACTGTTGAACGTGTTTCCTCTTGAAACAACATTAGATGGTTTTATGGTCTGCGTTTAATTCAAAGTGTTAATTATAAGGTGTTCATCATAAGCAGCTAGCAGAGTGAGGGCAATATTTCAGGCTGTGGTGAGAGGCTCATCATCAGGAATGCAAAGGAGCGCAGAGGCACAACAGTAGTGGTGGTGGAACCATGGGGGAACCATGAATCTCATTAGAGGAATTAGAGATTAGTGTTTGTGTCCTGTCACAGGACAGCCATCGGCCCCATTGCCCAGGGTGTGACACACAGCATGTCAACAGGCTTTCTGGAACAGCTTACAGGGTTGAGAGGGGTAACTGCCAGCAGAGCATGGGTCGTCTTATGGGATGCAGGAGAGGAGCATCTTGTGATTGTATAGAGCTTCTTACAGATGCTTAAGGGAGGGACCAGAGGAGGGGAGCAAGGTGGTTTGCAGGGCAACAGTTATGGGAAAATAGATGGAATAGAGGATAAAAAGCCCAGTCAAGTGCAAACAAACACTGGTCAGCATGTTTGTCTGGTTGTATCCTATGCTGGATTTCTGCAGCCTGTTCCTTTTTCTCATTAAGCTCCATATATAACTGTTCTCCTGGAAGAGAGGACTCTGTATTCATATGTGCATATTGAAGTCTCAGTGCCAGCAACAGGAATGATACTGTAAGCTGTAGGGACCTCTGTGACTGATGAGAGAGAGAGAGAGTCTAGGTGCCACCAGATGGGTTGGTGACCTGGAGAGAGCAGAGCACGTGTGTTGGCAGGTCTGCCACTGTATGGTTGCTCGTGAGCATTGGGCTGGGCTGGCTGGTGAGTAGGACAGCGGGCCCGGGGCCAAGTATGAGTGCAACTGGGTGTGGGCACAGTGCTAGTGAGATGAGGGGATATTTGAGCTGGCAGTGAGAGAGATCAGAAGAGAATATGAGGTTTGAAAATTGTTTTAGAGGCTCATTGGTGCACATGTGTGAGAGAGGTGACTGGATGCAAAGGCTGGCTGGGTACTGGATAGGTGGAGCATCTGGGGCCGTTCAGAGAGGAATCTGTGGTGCACCCATGGGGAGTTGGCACTGTGAATCTGGATGAGATCTGAACCAGGAATGGGAGGGGGTCTGTGGGGAGACCAGCAGTTCCTGGTTAGATTCTCAATCTCAATTCTCTGCCCTGTAGAGATCCGCATTGTGCGTATGCTCGTTTTCACACTAACTGACCTTTGTCTTGGCCAGGGAACAGCGTGAGGTGCTGTGCATGTGTGCTGTACAGCCTCAGCCTTGCTGCTGCCGGTGCCTGGGACAAGAAGCTGCAGCAGCCTCAGGCTGCCGTGGCTGGCAGCACCCAACAGGTGAAAGTTACTGCAAGTTGAGGATGCAGGAATCTTTGGTTCTCAAAACATAAATTTGAAGCCAAACCAATGACTGCTAAGTTGTCATAGAGTTTTAAAACACTCGTCGTTTTGGCTGATGTGAATAAGGCTACTTACATGAGAGTGTAAGTAGATAAAGAGATTTATTTAAGCTGTCATGATGTAGTAATGGAGCACAAGTGTAAGCTTATCGTTACAGGGCTTTTTTCCTTTCCTTTTAAATTGCGTCTCTTTTTGAAGTCAAAAGAAGTGAAGATAGAAGTAGGAATAAAAATGGGAATGTTTAAGTGTCCTGTGTTCTGCACTTGCCTTTTCCTTCTACTTGTATCTCACCTCTGAATAAATCCCTTTTTGGAAAAGAGTGGTAACAAGGAAGTGGGAGTGGGAGTGTTTGTCATCATAAGAACTGCTGTTGCTTTCAGTAACTGCTGCTGGCAAGTTAAAAGGCACCGCATGTGTCAAATAGCAACATACAGTTAAAAAACAGAAGTACTGTCCTGTGTGCTGCTGGAGTTCATGAGCATATGGGGATGTATGCATGTATGTCCAGTTTGTTGATATGAAATGAAGTCGTGAGCAGATTATTTCCAATTGAAAACTGTATAATAATAATGGTAATATTGAACAGCGAAACAACTTTTTTTCTAGTAGAAACTACTGCAGCTACTTTGTGTGCATCCATGGGTAGTTTTTCCTCCTTTTAAATATGCTGAAGGAAGGCATTGTTTTATCCTGGCACTCTCCCTTTGCTCATTTCCAGTTCTGAGCTGACCTTTGTGGTGATACGTGGGACAAGTTAAAGCACAAAAAGATATCTTTAGTGCAGCGAGTGCTTTTCAGAGTCACCGGCTGCTTGTGTGTCTGGGCTTTCCCTTAAATTGTGGCCATGGTAGGGTTGGGCACTTCATTTAAGTCCTTGGGTTTTCTGTCCAAGTTTATGGCATATAAGACACAGAAATAAAGCTAGGCACATTACATATGACAATATATGATTAAAAGCTGTATGTTCTGCTTGTTCATGTTAAAGAATTAGAACTCCTTTACTGCCTGGTACAGCCTTTTGACCTCTTAGTTTTTCTTCCGTGCTTTAAGTTGCGTTTCCAGTTCTGTTTCATTTTCCTGGCAGTGTGGAAAGGAGGCCTTGTCGCATGCTGCAGCTTCTCCCCTCTCAGCTGAGCCAGGTGGCTTCTGGAGGCCCCGGCCCCATGGCTACGCCTGCCTTCTGTCCTCTCTGCTTTTTGATCCAAGGACGTAAAGGGGCAGGAAGCTGGTGTTTGGAGTGGGTGTTGCTGCGTGGTGATTCATGCAGCGTGCTTGGGGCTGGCACTTTGCAAAAGGCTCTTCATAGCCAGCAGGGAGGTGGATGCGGGCTGGATGGGTTGCGCGGGTGGCGGCGGATCTTTGATGCTGATCTCTAGAAGGCATTCAGCCTTTGATGAACATCAATACCTTTGCTTAGAAGCAGCTGTGTGCGTGGGGCCTTGATGAGACGTGGCAGCATCAGCTTATGATTTGTGGTCATCATGGTGTTTTTCTTTACTGATGTTTGCTGTTGTAATAACGTAGATCAAATACGTTACAGACAGCAGAATATCAACTTGAAATATCATTTTTGCTGTAACACTGACAAGTATCCGGCAAGCTTTTTAGAGGAATGTCCCACCTTAATAATGTGCAGAACAGAGGTGTCATTTTGGGACTGACCTACTGTGTTAGGAAAGCGACAGCTGGAGGTGAATTCAAAGCAACATCATTAGCACGGCATAAGGATGTTAAGAGAAGATACCCTTGTAGCCACATTCACTGCAGTGTCATGGAGCACTGCAACATTTCTGTTCCCTAACAGTTTCTCTCTTTACTGCTGTCTGTTTGCCTCAGACACACCTTTGCAGTCTGGGCGCTGTGCATTCTGAGATCTCTTGCCCAAGCTCTTCTGTATGCCAGTGTTGGTTTTTCTTTCTGCTCTGTAGAGATGTTGATGTCACAGGGAGGCTGAAGGGTTTTGCAATAGAACGTCTGAGCGCTTGCTTCCACCTGCCTTATCCGTGGTGGCAGCTGGTTGTGTAGGAAGTACTGCTCATTTTAAAGTCAGTCCTCTTGCTCTGTGCATTCTCTGACCTTTTTTTTGGCTCCCAACTTACTAAATGGGGTTCTGCCTCATGATGTGAAGAATGATGCTAATGGAGGGAATGCCAACAGCTCCTTTGTAAGGTTGGCTTGACTCCGGTATGTGTTTAACTGTCTGTGTTTCTGTGGTTTAATCATGAATTATTTGAACACATCTCAACTCCTTTCAAATCTCTCAGGCCTCCATGGCCTGGAGTTGGCCCACAGGTGCTTAAGAGATGTAAATTCACCATTGTTTTAGATGTATAAAGCTCATTTTACATAGATGTAGGTCTTTCTTTAAAGTTCTTACAATGCTAAGCCAAGTCCTTTTCTTTTTGAGAAGCACAGGTGTGGCCAAAGATTAGGTTTACTTGACTGGAATACATGTTTTTTGACATGTAGGAGTGGCTTTGAGGCTGACGTGCTTTGTTCTCCTCTTCTTCCAAATGCCTTCTAAAAGGGAGTGTTTCTTTACTGAAATTCTGATGTTCTCTCACTTTTCTTCTGGAAGTGTGTCCTCAGTACTTCTAAAAGTGAAAGGAAGATGCCCTACTTTGAGATCAGAGTAGATTGACTTTTATAAGTCTTGAATGTCTGCTTGTATTTGGCATCTGTTTAAGAATTGCTATGATATTCCAACTGCTGGAGTTCATCTCACGCCCGCACGGTGTCTCAACCTGTACGTTGCCTTGGATCATCTCTTAGTTTTGTAAGACAGGCATTACCTTTTTAAGCACAGTTTTCTTAAGGCCAAGAGAAGTGAACGTGTATTACCATTTTATATTTAAGATATTGCACTTTAAAGTATTCTTGTATAAATGTTCTATCAGTATGGTCAAAGAAGTGCTTTCTGTGTGCACAGGCACTCTTGTGTATTCAGCTTGTCCTTTATAATTGTAAGCTAAGTAGTACACAGTTGGGTTTGGCCCTGAATATGTCTGTACATTTTCTGTAACCAGTTGCATTGCTTCTGTACTTAAACTCCCATGCAAGCACAGGGGTTCTGGATCAGAGTTAGATTTGAGATTTCTTCTTTAAGGTGTTTTGTCCTTGATTTCTTGTTGTATGTTAGATTTGAGTTATGTGTTAAGCTGCTTTACCCTTAATGTATTTTCCACTTGTTTTTGACAGCGTATTACCTTCAGGAAATGGCCTCTTCTAAGTCTTTGATGAACCTTCTGACCTTCAGTTTTGGATCTGCAATAGGATTTTTTCTATGCTATCTCCTGTTTAGCATGATACTAGAAGAACAGGTTGAGATCCAACCTCGTATTCTTCACAATGATCCACATGGTCAACACTCAGAAGATACTGATAACAATCAGCTGCAAGGACAAATGAATTTCAATGCGGACTCTGGACAGCATAGAGGTATTTTGTTACACCTGATTTATTATATAATAAGTACCCTTTCATGCACCACAAACTGCCAAGTATTTGTATGAATCGTTTTCTTTCTGTTTGCCAGTGTTCAGGTTACATCTAAGTAACTTTGTTCTCTTGAGGTCTACTGCAAGGTGATTTTCTTTGCTTACATCACATTCGTGATTTTTGCATTTTCCCTTTGGAACCTTTGCTAGGCAGATATATTTGTTAGCATTGAAGATGTGATTGAATTGTTTTTCAGCTTTAAGGAGATAGTTCTGGACCATTTCTAACATCTGATCTAATTCTCAGATAACCCTAAAAGGAAAAAAATAGGATGGGTGCCTCACTGGGCCCTCTTTGCCTTCCTGATCCACAATCCACAAGACTAATTACTGTTCTCAGCTAGAAACAGTCTGTTGCACTTTGATTTTTCTTTTTGAAGAAGGCAGACCCTTCTGATATTTCAGGCACACTTTTATATTTGACCCATCTTATCATGAGTTCATTCTCAGTCCTAATACAGATAGTATCTGAACTGGGGCAGTTTAGATAAGAAAAATTGCCTGCACTATAATGCATTTATTTCACAAGGCATTAATAAGTAATTTATAATCTAAAGTTACTTAAACTGCAAGCTTTGTAAGTGAAGTTTGTGAGTGTTTTGCTTGTGGTTGTAGAAAACTGTTTCAAAGAAAACTGTTTTTGATAAGGTTAAACAGTAATATTTTAGGACCAGTGGTACAAATCTCACCAACCATGGAATGTTCTTTTGCATGAGTTAACATCACTGTATGTGTCCAGTGAAAGTTTCTTTGAGGGGAAACAAATGCTTTGGCACCTTGGAAAATGTTATATTCCACATCTGTTGTTTGGCACATTAATACTGGGTTCATTCTATCTTAATACCACTGATAATTTACAGATAAGATTTAACTTGATTTTATAATAATTTTTTCTGCCCTACCATCTGCATTTCCCTTCAGAAACAGATTGGTATGTTAGAATTGTTTATTAGGTTTTGTTAGTTAAAAAAAAATTATGTAACAAAGATAAGAAGTTCTTAGAGCTTTTTTTTTTTCCAGTTGCTGTGTACTTTGTGAATGGTATAAATATATATTTTAAATTTGAATTAATCTTCTAATGCCACAAAGAGGATGACTTCTCACGGTTTTTATGTGTTAAACCGTTCTGAAGTCACAATGAAAAGATACCCATTTTGATCCAGCTTCCCTTTATCCTGTGAAGTCAAAGTAACTTCGAGAATTTTAGTTTCTTGGTTTGGGGAGTTTATTTTCTTCTGAAACTTAATATTAATTTCATTTGAAAACAAAGACCTCCTGTGTCCCTCTGCATGTATTTCCTGAATTAGAAGCAGAGTGTCTGGGGGGGGCTTGCTCTCCTGTATGTATCAGTGCTCAGCCAAATCTGATGTTTGGGAATTTTCCTCTCTTTTTCAGATGAGAATAAAAATGTTGCAGATGGACTCTATCAGAAGGTGAAAATACTTTGTTGGGTCATGACTGGACCTCAAAATCTGGAGAAGAAAGCCAGACATGTTAAAGCCACCTGGGCCCAACGTTGCAATAAAATACTTTTTATGAGCTCTGAGGAAAATAAAGACTTCCCAACAGTGGGCCTAGAAACCAAAGAAGGCAGGGACCAACTTTACTGGAAGACTATAAAAGCTTTTCAGTATGTTTATGACCATTATTTTGATGATGCTGATTGGTTCATGAAAGCGGATGATGATACGTATGTTATATTGGACAATTTAAGGTGGCTTCTTTCAAAGTACAGTCCTGAACAGCCGATATACTTTGGAAGAAGGTTTAAGCCTTATGTGAAACAGGGCTACATGAGTGGAGGAGCGGGGTATGTTCTGAGCAAAGAAGCTCTGAAAAGATTTGTGACTGCTTTTAAAACCAACAAATGCTCTCATAGTTCCTCTATTGAAGACTTAGCACTAGGAAAGTGCATGGAGATCATTAATGTAGAAGCAGGAGATTCCAGGGATACAAGTGGTAGGGAAACATTCCATCCCTTTGTTCCAGAACATCTCTTAATCAGAGGATACCTACCAAAAACATTCTGGTACTGGAATTACAATTATTACCCTGCTGTAGAGGTAAGTCTTTAGGAATGTGGCATGTGTTCCATGACGTATGTCTTACCATGATACAGTGTTTGAGTTGACAGTTGAATGGCAGCTAAATGTATTTTAGAAAGGAAAATTTTGTTGTGACGTTGTTGGATACACCTGTGTTAAATACCATAGTCATCAGCTAAAACTGGTGCGAAGAGATAAATGTTCTGGAGGAGCTACTCAATCTTGAATTGCTATTACTGTTTGCCTGTGTTTGGTGGACAGCAAGAAATGATGAAATCTTCTTAAGAGAACTTGTCTGGTGTCAGCACTACTACGTTCCTTGCAAAGTTACCTGCAAAGTTCCTGTTCTGTTTTGTACCCTTGTATCTCAGACTGCTGTGCAATAGGAAGCGAGTCCTGTGAGGTTCATTACAAAGCAGTGTTTTAAAAAATAATGATTGTTTCTTAGGTTTTCATCATCAGCCAGTACCCCCAGCTACTCAATCTTTTTGTCCCTCACCTTATATTAGTAATGGATGTTGCCTTGACCCAGGTGCAAGACCTTGCACTTGGATTTGTTGAACCTCATGATGTTCAGCTGGGCCCACTGCTCAGCCTGTCTAGATCCCTCTGGATGGCACCCCATCCCTCAGGTGTGTTGACCTCACCCCACAGCTGGAGTGGGGTGATTTGCTTGAGTTTGCACTCGACCCCACTGTTGATGTCACTGTCAAAGACATTAAAGAGTATCAACCCTAGCACTGATCCATGAGGACACCTAATTTTGGCTGACTTCTCTTAAATTAAGTTTCCAACTTGAGTATTTGTTTTGCTTAGCCATTTTTCATTTAGATTTTTGCATATGTTTGTATATCATATACTCAGTCACAGGGTGGCAGGACGTTGTCCTGAGACTAATAAGGAATTTCCAAGTCTGAAAATGCCTAAATAAAAGGCAGTGTCTCTGCAAGCTGCTTGCTGCTGCCTGATTCATTTTTATGAAGTATGTAAAATGATGATGTTTGATGCCCTGTCCCTGGAGGTGTTCAAGGCCAGGCTGGATGGGGCTTTGGGCAGCCTGGTCTAGTATTAAATGTGGAGGTTGGTGGCCCTGCTTGTGGCAGGGGGGTTGGAGATTCATGATCCTTGAGGTCCCTTCCAACCTGGGCCATTCTGTGATTCTGTAAAAGCAAAAAATGCCCTCTGGCATTAAGTGCAGGCAGCAAGTTTCTTCACTGGCTTGATTACAGAGGCCAGAGACTATCTATCCATTTCTGTCTTAGGAAAGATGCTTTGGCAAATCTGCCTGATTGATCCAATTTGCTTGCCTGATGCTAAGCTTCGAAATAAATACATGAATGACGAAAGGGATTTTTTCCCAGGAAGTCAAATGTGTGTTTGAATTCTTCCTCCAGTATCTTTAATCCGTGGCATGCTCTGGAATTCTTGCTGATGATTTTGACTTGTTTTGTATTTTAGGGCCCTGGATGCTGCTCTGACCTTGCGGTTTCATTTCACTATGTTGATTCCATGACTATGTATCACTTGGAGTACTTGGTTTACCATCTCCGTCCATATGGGTATTCGTATCGGTACAATCCTGATTCGGCAAAGAGCCCGGGGGAGCAGAACAAAAATGAAGCACTAGAGGATAATCCAAAGCTAAAGCAAAAGACTTCTGAGAATTAATTGGACTTTGAAGGAAACTGAAAGAAGGCAGTACGGTGATTAAGAGTCTTCTCAAACTCCTGCATGAAGCTTGTGGACTAGGATTATCCATTGCGATTCTTACGTTGGCAGTACTACCAGTCAGTGCCTGTGCACAAAAGAGTCCAGCGTAGGCTCTGGCTGATTGGGATAGTGTGACATTGCAGCCCTACTCACAAAGATATTGGGCCCTAGAGCTGTGGAACAGGAGGAGGTTCTGGTACGCTGGTTCCTAGAAGAACTCAGATTTAAAAGCATAGTGGACAGATTCAAAGATAATCATACAGTGTTTCTTTTTTTCCCTTCCAATTGTTCTGTTATGTGAGTTCTTATACTAGAAATCTGATGTAACAGGAATGCTTCATGATGGTTTTCTCCAGTATTTTCAGTATTCTGAAGTTACTGCGTGCATGTTGCCCTATAAGGAAGTAAGAAGGGTAAAAAATAGAGCCTCAAATCTGCTTTGCCTTAATGACAGACTGGTTGGTAAGAACAGAGACACATCTCAGTGATTAATGTCTGAATTATTTCAGAAATTAAATTCACTGCTAGGAATTATTTACAGTTTTTTACTGTAAATCTTTACTGTACAAAACAACATGAAGTTAGATCACTACTGTCTTAGGGAGAAACCCAGGGATAGTTATTATTGTTCAGATTACTGAAGTGATGTGAGGAGACTATGTTTGTCCATGGCTTTTTTTAATTTTATTTTAATCAAGTTGCCATTTGGCTAAATAAATTCATCTCAGAACTTGTGAGCTAAAGATGCTTTTTCATATGAAAGCTCTTCTCCATTACATTTTCTCTGTAAAACAGAACGGATAGTATGTTAGCCAAGTTGCGGTGGCATGTAATAATTTGGATTCAGCCAGTGTTAATTAGTTCATTTCTATTCAGTTTCCCCATTTCTGTACTTTGAGATTGTGACATTACCTTATTCACAGGATTTTACAGGTACAAACACATACTGTTTTAAAACAGGAACAGAGCTCATTTGTCTGCTTGGCTTAGAGAACTTCATTTCCCTTTTCTGAACTCTTCCTCCATTCTTAAAGTTTCTTGTTGCTTTTTTCAGAACAAAGTGATAGATGATCGCTGTGTCACTCTTGTGAAGCTGAAGTATTTGGTTATTCAGGTAACCCAGCCTGAATGCAGGTATCTTTCAAGTGCATTAATCTCTCCACTACTTTATGAGCATCTCTGCCTCGTAAGTGAAAACACTTTCTTGGTGTGGAACAAAACGGTTTTAATTACCGAAGAGTTTTCAGAAGTCGGGTCTGTGTTTTACATACACAACACAACACTTCGTGGTTTTCACTTCTTCGAATTCAGTTAATAGAGCAGTTCAGGGGATGGGGTGAAGCCTGACATGCCTTTATTCCACACTTGAACAAAATTTCTTTTTAGCATTTTTCGCCTTCATCATATTGATGAATTTGGACATAACCTGATTACCTCCAGTCACTGCTTTGGAAAGGGCACATACTTAGTGATTAGATAGCAGACAGCCTTATTTACTGCTGCTGTCCTTCAGGTTCCTGGAGAGGACGTTAGCATAAAGTACTGGAATTTGTGTTTTCCAAAGATAGTTCTCGCACAGATTGGGGTTCTGTCTGTGGTCCAGTAGTGAGGTCGTGCAGCATAATGGCAATTACTGAAATATGTGGAATTGAAATACTGTTTGTCATGTCTGCCTGAATATAGGTTAGGTTTGTATGTTAAACCTGTTGATCTTTCATGAGGAAGATTCTGCGAAATACTGAAAGAGATGAGCTTTATTTTATGTTAACTGACTTAGAAGATCATAACCGTATTTGTTTAGAAAAAGGAAAAAGCCTCCAGTTTGCTGTGGTCAGAGGGGTGCTGTAGTCATAGAGAGAATGCCTGATAGCTTCTTTTAGTTGGATGCTTCCTTCTGTCAGCTAAACGTTTATCCCGCGTGCCACGCAAACAATAAGATTGTGAAATCCTTATACTGTTGATAACTCTGGTGGCATTGTTCAAACCTGCAATTAAAGGTTCTGGAATACATCAGGAAACTGTAGAATGAAATCAAGATCCCAGCGTTAATCTCTTTGCCTTTCCTCTGGGGCAGTTCTGATGGTTGCCTGTTCCCCAGCTGTGGTTGGTGGGCTTAGCAGAGCAGGGCAGGGCCTCGGGTGGAATGGAGAAATAAAGAAGTGAGCAGCACATGTCTGCAAGGCCGAGAACTTACTGCTTGTGACAAGTAGGCGGCCCATCTGGAGAAGTAAGAGCAGCCTTCTCTTCCAGTGCTCATTCTTGCTTTGTTTTAAAGTATTCTGCTCCCACACTTCTGATATTATTTCTTTTGCCTTTCTGGCAATACTGCAAAGAAATCCAAATATTTTTTTTCCTGTCAGTATCCAAATAGGCTTGAAAAAATATCAATTTTACGTTCTAATAGAAGGCTGTTGCTCTCTGCTAAATTGTAATGTAGCAACGAGCCTATACCTCCTGAAGTGAGCAGTTTGCATCTCATTCTTCAACAGCTGAAGCGGACGAGATTGGAATTTGAGCAGTTAGTGTAATTTTCACATGCCATCTTACAGAACCATTAACAGTTTATTATTTCACTCTCAGGTCTTCGTGCTTTGACAAAGTATTGAGTATTTCTGTAGCCCCAGCAGGCTTCTTCATGGGAGGATTCAGAAGCACAGAGTCTCTTTGGCTCTTTAGATTATTGCATGCTCTCTCTCTCTTGCTCTCAGATCTCTTAATCAAAATTAGAAACTTCCATTGGTATGGTTGGTTGTAATTAAAATGGTGCATCTAACATTTATGAACTAGTTTTCTTGGAATTAGGAAGCAGCAGGCTTTTCTTAAACAGTTGTTTGCCCCTGGATATGGGAACGTTCCTTAGCATAAGACAGTAACGTATTAACCCTGCAGTGTGTTTTAGCTCAAAAGAAATGGGAGTGCCAAGCAAAGTTCCTAATTGGAGGACAGTGTTAAATTTGGCTTGCAGAAAAAAAAAACAAACAAATTTAATCATTAACTTTGAGTTCATTTGTGCAGCCTGTGTTGGACTTAGTGAAGGGGTTAGACTGTGTGCTGTTAGCACAGTCTCTCATCTTCCCATCATTGTGGGAGGACTTTTCCCAATGTCTTTCGCCTGTAAGGACACTGTCTTTGTTTAGCTCTGATGGGGTTATGTATTAAAATCACTTTTTCTTTACATATGACTGTTCTGTTTCCAGAGTGTGCATTTCGGTGAGTACCTGGCACACCTGTAATGCACAGTTTGCCATCCGAGAAGGGCTTTTATCTTCGTATGACTAAGAAAGATGTGGGTTATTTCTCTGATGTCCTGCTGCTGCTGCTAATAGTGCACAGGCAGATGGACATAGAACTTCCAGTGTGGCACAACATGGGAAGGCTGCTTTGTCCTTTTTCTGACAAGAAAAACTTCTGTGGGATTCCAAAGGTGTAATTTGTTTTAGTTTACCATGCTGTATTTAAAATACTCCAGAAATGTTGTTAATGCTCTTAAAAAATAAAATGAATATTGCTGCTGGACAGTATATTCCACTAAAAACCTGTGAATGTTTCATTTTGCAGTTGTAGGCTGTTGTGTCCCTACTGACGGGTGTAAATTGGTGACTCGTCTGGACTGATCACCGTAAGATTTGTTTCTGAAATACCTTCTTTGAAGTGCCTTTGACCAATTTTTAGCATCAAAATTAAGTTCAGAATTGAATAAATGAAATAAGTTATCTCCATACACTGCGTGTCTGTCTTCATTTGCCCGCCCTGTATGCCAGTAGTGTGGCAGCACAGTGGAGTGCAATAAGAATATTCTCTTTCCTTGTGTGTTCGTCAGTTTTGGTGGTTGCAGGAAAGGTGGAAAGCTTGCTGAGTTCTCTGTTACATGCTACTAGCAAGTAGCAAGCTACATAGAAAACTTTATTTAAAGAAAATGTTAAATTAATTACAGGTGCTAGCACCAGATCCACACAGCCAGACTGCTGTTCCTTCATTGTGCTGATTTTCACTGTCTCCATGTTATAGCATCCTGAGTGAACTGACTGCAGCTGATGCTCAGAGATAAAGCAACATTGTTCCAAATGCACCACATTTGACAGGAAATACCGCTTATAGAAAGCTTTGCAGGCTCAGGGGAATTTCCTGCACTGCTTTTCTGTGCACTGATGTGAGTTTAAAAGGAATTTAAGTCAATATTTTCCATCCAGGGACTGAAGGCTCTCTGATTGCAGGGTGGATGCACTTGTGCATTGCTGGTTCCAACGCACTGCAAAATGGTCTGCAGCCTTCCCTCCTTTTTGAGAGTTTTTTGCCTTTATGAGGCCCTCCTTTGGGTTCTACAGATGTTGTGGTGTGGTGAGTAACTTCTTTTGACAACTGTGAAAGGAATCAGAAAGTCAGAGCCCTAAAGTGAATATTTTCATTGTTGCACTTAGGAAATAACATAGACATGGAAAAGCAGCTGGATCATGAGAAATTATTTCTAGGCATTAGGGTGGTATTTGGTGTCATTTACAAAGGAAAGGTGAATACTCACATCAGAAATGTAGGCTGAGCTCTGTGCTTTTCCAGCTTTCTAGTACATGTGTATATATATTCCTGCAACCCTAGCCACCTTTCTTTGGCTTATTTGGTTCCAGCTGAAGCCTTGGGTGCTGGAGCCTGCAGCGGTGCTGAGCCAAACTCCAATGTTCCAGTTCCACCTGGGACTTCTCTGATGTGTCATACTGCTCTTGGGATGAAAAAGTTGATTCTTTTGCACATTCAAGGTATTGCCTTCTCTTTGAGAGGCTCATGCCAGAACCTGGCTTGTCATTTTCATGCTTCAGGTGTCTACGGCTCACTTCAGGTCTGGATGCAAAAGGTCATACATGAGGTTAGTAATCTACAAACTGTGTTGAAATCAGCCTGCCTAAATGAGCCACTACCAAAGCAAGAGTCAACCTGAGGGTTATAGATTAAGGAGATCTGAGTAGATTGAGACATGAGTTTCTCAGGAATGTTTGTTAAAACACAAAGTTGGTTTGAACAGCTGCTTATCTCCTGACGTTTAGACTACAGCTTTGCTTGAGGAGGTAAGCATTTGCAGGATACAGTTCTTAGTTTTACAGACCTGCCTATGGCCTCTGTGAGCCCATCCCTTTGGCATCCTGAAATCCACAGGGCTGGTTGGTTCCTTTGAATCTCTGTTCTGTCTCCCAGCAACTCCGTGCCCTCTTGGTTTGTCCCCTCATAGGATCAAGTGCTCACTCGCTGAAAGGAGAGGAACATTGTCACTAACTTCACTCATACGCAAACCTGGTCGGTGTGTCCTGCTCTGTTCCACCCCCAGTATTCAATGTTCCCAGCACTCTAAATTCTTCATAGTCTCATGTCAAGGTTCTTCTTCCCCTCAGCTGACCAAAAGAACTTCAAACTTCATCTGTTTTGATACCCTGCACCTTTAAAACCTTATTCTATGATTTACACCATTGGTAATTGCACTTGAGTTTTTAATGAACAATCGTCTGAACATCACACTGTTAGGTGTCGTCAGCTCCTCCCTTCCTGGAGACAGAGAGCACGACATGGAAGATAAAAATTAACTGGGGGGAAACCCTGGATGCTCGGTAGAAATCAAAACTAACAGATGTCTGTGTAGTTGCAGTTGTGGTGTTGTTTTAATGAATAACTGTTGTCTCCAAACTCCCTACAGCTGTAGTCCAGCACCCTGCAGAGAAAACCATACCTGGAGATCTGATGTTTTTCCAGCACAGAACGGCACTTGACCAGCACCAGTAGCTCCAGCATTTATCACTGCAAACAGCAACTGCCACATGTTATGATTCACAAGAATCATAGATTCTTGTGAGATTGAGAGACTTTGCTTACAGCTTGCTAACTTGCTCTATGCTACTGAGTGACATGAAGGACTGCTGCACAAAGAATGCTGTAGACATAAAGCGTTGGTCAAGGGCTGCGTTCTGCCCCTCATGGTGCAACAGGAGGGTTTCCCCCAGCAGTTCTGTCTGTCCCAGTTCAGTATATAATCAAGTCACCAGTCTGGTATAACCTTTGTTAAATCCTTACCTTACAGCAATGAAACCTTGCTGCTTCTTTCATATGGGAGTGTTATATGATCTCATCCACAACACATAACTAAAATCAATTTATAAATTGGAGGCAGAGCTCTCCTGTTCAGCAGCTGGTAGACGTTCAGCGTGAATAACGAAGTCTTTCTTCCCTTTTGCCAGTGTTATCTCATTTTTAGCAGACAACAGGCAGTGTCTGTTTACCCAGACATTTGTTGTGGAGCATTTGTTGCCCCACTAGTTGCAGGCATCCTGCTTTCAGAGCTGCTCTGTAGCAGCTATGCTGGGGTTTATGGCCTTTATCTTTGTCAGCTTCCAAAGCCACATTTCATGCAATGTATTCAGACTAATGCAAGTGTTATTCACAGTCTCTAAAAGCAGAAGTTGTCTCACCAAACTTAGATCTGAATGTTTACAAATTTAAGACAATCCTGATGAGAGAGAATCTCCTGCATCAGCTCTATCTTCTTGCTTTAAAGCCATCACTACGAAAACAGCATTCAGTCTTACTAGCATCTCCTCAGTGAGCTTAAGGAAAGAAAAAAGGAGTACAAGTCACGTGGGTGTCCCATGCTGATAAATTCACCACCACCAATCCCACAGCACTTTGTCAGCATTGCAGGGAATATGTTGGCACCTGCAGGTTTTCCTTCTTCTCCCAGGTGCTGCTCAGCTCTGCAGCCATCTCCTCTCCCTTCAGCTACTGGCAGAGCTGAGCTGTGCCTGCCTCCTTGCTCACAGCTCCCGTGTTGCTTTTCATGTCCCCCTTTCCTTCCAGAGGAGCAGGATATCCTGGCAGCAGTTCTGCCCACCATTCTGACTGGTGCTATGCAAACTCTGGCTTTTATGACCCATTCTGTAGAAGGGTGGTGAGATGAGTATGCTTTGTCTCAGTGTTAAAATATATTACTTCCTTCCCTTGGGAAGTTCCCTTCTGTGTCATATATACATGGCTTTTTTACTGCTGTTATAGGTTGTTTGCCTTTCTCCTTTCAGTTATATATCCCAGTTAATGTACAATTGGTTTTAAGGGCATAAATCCCTCTCTGCTCCTCAGTAACTGTTCCCACTGACTGCTGAACTCGGATCAGGTTTTGTTGCTGTGCAGAGGGTAACAGCTACTGGCATGGGCCTGCTGGTTACAAAGGTTGCTTACCTCTGACAAAGAGTAGGCAGCTGCTATTAAAAACTCCATAGCATTATTATGGGCAAGAATATGATCCAAGCCAATTTTTGTGCATGAAAGCTCTGAAGTGTTTTCATACAGACCTGTGCCATATGTAAGTCCACAGCTTAACAATTCCTATGTGATTCCTAAAGAACAGGAAACAAATACATGAGGAGGGAAACACTTTCCCTTGATGTTCAGTTCAGCATCATACAGAGATTTAGCATTTAATCACTGTTTCATTAATACATCTGGTCCATGTTAGAGGGAAGAAGTAAAGTGGATAAAGAAGGCACAGTTAAAGAAATGCAGTATCCAAAGTCTTTTCTCCAAGGCCCATGGAGGATGATGCCCAAACAAACACTTGGCACCCTATGACCTGGGCAGTGCTGTTTATAAAGATTCACCTCTTGTTCATTTGGGGGCATCATTTATTCCTCTGTTTGAGCCTCATGAAAAAATGCTGGTATTTATGAAAGGCGACATGGTTATGGAATGCAATGCAATGGTTTCTTTTTTCTTGTCATTTTGTGCTAATCTTGCTATTAAAAAGGTTTGCACTGCTTATCTGTTTTAGTATTTCATAAGTTGCTTTTGTCATCAAACTAAACTGAATTCTGGATACTGGATTTGAGACATAGCCAAGAGAAAAGTCTCTCGGTATCTCCTCCAAGTTTGAAAGTATGTTGATACTGCACTTCAGTACTGTTTTAAGTTTTGAATCCACCTATTCAGCCAATTTGAAACCTTCTTGTTCTTTCATTTCCTCACACTTTGTGTTTATTCCCATGTTGCTGAATTCATTTGGACATCTGTTCACTATTAAATTCTCCAGCGCATAGATATAGTTGGGTGATATTGCACAAGCTGTATTTCTGAGCAGGAACTCAATCCTTCCATGATCTTTTCACACCACTAGTAGGAAGTTTACTAGCTTGAAACCTTTTGTTTGACTTGCTGATTATTCCCAGCCCTGTACATAGCTGGATATCACAAGAGACAATCCTTTGCAGTATATTTTGAAGCAATATACTTTTCTGATAAAAAAAAAAACAAAACCAACAACAAACAACCAGATCCACTGAAATTGCATTCTTCTATAGCACTGAATCCCTCCATTTTCAGGCTTCTACAGAGTATGTAGCACAACGTATTGTCCTTGTGTTCCAGTGCTTCTTTTCCAGACAAGATTAATTGCGGCTTCATGGTTGTTCTTCTTGGAGTGACCTTCATATTTCATTCTGAGTATAAAAACAGTGGCATTTTTGGAGGCTACCATCAGTTTTTTAGTTTCTAATTTGAAACTCACTAACAAAGCTAATTTTTTTTTGAAAAAAGTATTTAATTCTCCCAAAATTCAAGCACTTCATTTCATAGAATAAGGTTAGTGCCTCGTTTGCTATAAAGAAGTCCATTTTGCATGGTATATGCTGTCTTTTGGGCACCTGGAGAAAAAAATGTGCAAGCATTGCTTAAACGTATTAAGATCTGTTCAGAC